CGCGTCGCCGTCCGCCTCCCGCAGCCCCGCCGCGTGGCCGTCCGCCCCCCACCGCCGCAGTTTGCTGTCCAGTTTTGCGGGTTTGAAGGCCGGGGCGCAGATCAGTGCCCTCAAACCAACCCTCAGAACAGAATATTCTGTTCTGAGGGTTGGTTTGAGGGCACTGATCTGCGCCAGCGATTTTCGGCCTTCAAAACGACAATTTCTCAACCCTCAAACTGGTTTTGAAGGTTGAGTTTTTCAGGGTTCTGTTGGACATGCTCTTATTATTATACCGATGAGCGCTCTTATTATTATACCGATGAGCCGTTTGATGTCACAAAAATATTTTAAGATATACCATTGAGAAACCAATGTAATGCATCTTATCATGTTCCTACCTGCGTGGAGGTGGCACTGGCAAAAACAAGATAAAATATAAGAAAAGCTAGCTAGTAGGATTGCTAATTAAACTAGACAGGCAAAGCTAACAAGCAGAAACGTGAACATAAAATAGATATGCACTGCTGTCGCTAGTTCACTTGATCCTTGATCGAGAGCAGAAAGGATAACAGTTTTTCATGGTAACTTACTACTCTGTTTTGATTTATTTCCGTAATTACAACTTTCTGGTTAATTGAATTCCAAATCATACCTTTTCACTTCCTCTGTACTATCAAGAATTAACTATCTACTCTCAATCTCATTTACAGGTACACAGTATAAAAGAGGCTATCTCCAAGTTAGGTAAAAATTATGCTGCTCAAGGAGAAAGAGAACTGTGTATGTCACTGTAACTTCTCGTCATCTTACTGCCCAGTTTATTTTACAAGTGTCTGTTCATCTCATAATCAAACAGTTAAATGTTGATCATAAGTTCCACATTGATACAACCATATTATTTGAACATGGGTCATTAGTGTGATCTATATACAACAGTAGTGGTTGGGGCGCCACCTTGTGGCGCCGCTTGAGAGGTAGTTGTGCGCATGTTTCCATTTAAAAAAAATACATGAGGTCCTCGTCTCCATCTAAAAAAAATATCTCAGAAAACAATCCTCACCTCCATCATAAAAAGAAGTAAAAAAGAAAACAAAAATACCGCCGCGTCCTACCAGCGAACGCCACTTTGCATAGCCCTCCATTTAAAAGAATACGTGAGTCCTCACCTCCATCTAAAAAAAAAGTATTTTATAAAATTCCTCATCTCCATCTATTTTTTTTCAAAAGCTATCTCACAGTGGCCAACCAGCTTGCGCCACATGGCATAGCTGGTTGGCCACCCTTATGGCGATGCTTAATGGGTTTAATGCCTTAAGCTATGACAATAATCCTTGGACTTTCTTTTCATGCAAAATTGGACTGTGTAACTTAAGGGAGCTTTATAGTATATTGATCTAAGCCCAGTGGAGGGGTACAGAAAAAGGGATAGATAAGTTATACCCTGTCTTAGTATAACTGTACATGTGGTATGTACTACTTCAATACGAGAACATCTAACAAAAATGAAATTCCTAACCCACGTCATATTTTAGAACCCTAGCTTAAAATTTTCTTGATAAGGTGAACTGTAAAGTTCTTATGGAGCTGTTTTTACTATTTGTGCTACAGTAAAGGAGGCTGTCCAAATAATTCGTGAAAACCTGAAGGATGAACCGTGGCTAATGGTACTCTGCAAGAAATTGCAGTAAGACTTGTCTCTTTCAACAAGAGTCCCTCACAAATAGAAAAGAAAAGAAGAGTCAGTAGTTTGGTATTGTCCATCTGTCTCACGCTACCACAATCTGCTCCACTGCAGGTTAGACATCAGTGAGATAAATGATATGGCCAAAACCAATGACACGTCATTTTGTGCTGATAGTTCTCCGGTACCTGCTCCAGCTCGTCCCTCAGAGGTAAACTCCTCAAGAATGCTTGATCTTTTTCAACGCTCACACCATGTTCTCTAAGCTTGTCCAATGCGTCAATACAGGGGGGTGTAGGAAATAGCAGTGCCAAGTCAAGCAAAGGGAGGCCTGCAAAGAAACTGAAGCCTGAGGTAGGATCAAAGAACATAAAAGACATGTTCCGAAGGGTGACAAGGAGTGGGACATAATCCCGAAAGGCTTGATTGATATTCTTGGAGTTGCGGGGTTATCTCCAATTTGGATGTGCTGAGATGCCATCGACCATTGTTGGTTCTTGACCCCGAAACCCATTATATGTAAGCTGCATTAGTTCCTTTTTGACGAACCCTGTTGAGCTGCACTAACTTTAGCCTTAGTAAATCAGGTATGTAGGGCGTTGATTCAATTGTATGGACTGTGAACCTTGGAATTTATTTGTACCCAAATTGTTAATCTCATTGAGCTGCCTGCTGAGGCTGTAACTGAACATATGCAGTTGCTTCAGTAACCTGAGCTGGTTGTAATCTAGTTTATTTATTGTGTTCATGCTGACATCTCTAGTTGCTTTTTTTTACTAGGAGAGACACGTAGCCACACTCTTTAACTTATGAGCTGACTGGGACATATTGGGTGTGTGTTTAGATACATATGTCATGTGGTAACATCCCTAGTTGCTTATGAGACTGATATTCAAGAATCGGTAGTACCATGTGCAACCTTTTTTGTGGGGAGAGAGGACGAGATGCGCGAGCAAAACCCTAGACACCCTCCATCTACTACCCCTCTCGCTGCAGCCAGCGCGTGTTGCTGGGCAAAGCCCTTGTGGCGGCGGCGGGGAGGTCCTGATCGGGGGTGGCCTAATTGTGGAGGTGGAGGGCTGCTGCGAGATGGTGAAGGGGTTTGTGTGCTTGAGTGGCAATCTTAGTGAGATAATGTTCCATGGTGGCATTGGTGATCCAACGTAGCTATCTTCAATGGCGGCCCAACCTTTCAAGGTCACAGGATAAGAGGGAGTCGGTGCATGGTCCTAGACAACGGCGAGCTTGATATCTGACCCAGACTTGTCGTGCGGCGGCAAGTGTGATTTTTTCCCAGGTTATCTTATCTTTGAGTTTGGTCTGGGGCGGTAAGACGGCGGCAGTGTTCTAAACTAGGAATAATGTTCTCCCCGTTCCGTTTGTACGTTTATCGTGGGCGGGGGCTATGGTTTTTGCTGGATCCATCTGGATTTGGCCAACTTTCATTGTCTTTAGAGTCTCTACAGCCCCTTATCGGTGTTTTCTTCTTCGGGGCGGTGATTTGCTTAAGATTGTGGTCGCTGGCATCTTCCGGTCTGCATCGATGACTTCTTTGCTGCTGCTTCTACAAGCTCATAGTAGACTGCCGATGGATGCAGGAGGAAGTAGACTTCGGCAACCCAAGATTTTGTTGTATGGGTGTGTTTGTAAGGACCTATGATGTTCAATATTTGGGCCTTAAGCCCATCGCAAAAAAAAAACAGTAGTACCCACGAGTGCATTATTTACTTCCTCCGTTTTAAAATAAGTGTCGTGGCTTTAGTTCAGATTTGAGCTGAAACACGACACTTATTTTAACAGAAGGAGTACTCCTACATAGTTATGACTCAAGCAGGACAGGGACTAGGAGAAAAACATCTAAAGTAACTTTAGGGCCTCTTTGATTTGTAGGATTTCTAAACGTGTGAATAGTAAAAACATCTATATCTATACTACTATATAGTGCGTGAATATTGAATGTTGGATGAAGTTAATCTAGCGGTGGAGAGTTAACAAATCTGAGTACTGTTGACAAATCTTTAATATTGGATGTTGGATGAAGTTAACCTAGCAGTGGAGAGTTGACAAGTCTTTGTAAGGACCTATTCCTATTTTGCCACGTGTACTATCTAGAAGCTTTCGTTACTGAGCTTAAGATGCACAAACCTCCAAGCATTAAGTTATCCTTTGTTCTAGAATTTTTCATGCTTTAATGCTGCCAATTTTTCTCTTTTAGATGATTTGCTATTTTTTCACTTTATGATTATCAGCGCGCGATATGCACACACATCAACACTTTATTAAAGGAAAACATAAAACAGTTCATTGCTACAAAAGTATAGCAATGTGAACATGCCTAAAAGAACTGTCATTCAGTCTTACTTTTTGTTGTTGTTCAAGATTTTGACAGTATCTTCATAAGAAAATTTATATTTTATTTTTTGATGGGTTGAACTACGAGAATTTAATCTACATCTGATACATCATGCATATGTGACTTGCAATTTACATATTTGCATGTGTGTGTTTTTTGAAAAGGGGGACTCCTCGACCTCTGCATCAGAACGATGCATACGGCCACTCATATTTGCATGTGTAATAATATGATATGTCAATATTCAATCTTGTTTTGGTTATGTAAGTTCTCACGTGTAGGAGTAGAGTGACATGCCATCATGAAAGTATATAGTTGCATGAAGCTTTGATCATGTGTAGGAAAAAACATAGCATTCTTCACGAGAGGTTGGAGTGGATGCGAATTTTTCTTAGGACTCCCTTTGGATCACTGGATTGAGAACGTATGAATAGGATGAACATAGAAATGTAATAGGTTTGGTACATATAATTGCAAAAACATAGGATTCATCACGAGAGGTTGGACTGGATGAGAATTTTCTTAAGACTCCTCTTTGGATTGGATTAGAAACACACGAATAGAATGAACACAACAATGTAACAGATTTACTAGTGCAAAACAAAGAGATGCAAAATAGGAATGGTCCTTTGGGTGGAAGACAATAAATATACCTTGATCCTACGCGATTGAGTCTTGAAAAGAGGTTGTAGTGTTTGTTTCGGATTCCTGCGGGACTGAGACAACCAAATTCAATCCTAGAATTCTAGGTACTCCCTCTGATCCAGATATATATTACTTGTCGCTCAAACATATATATTACTGTATTTTAATATTAGATACATTCGTCTGAACGACAAATAATATGGATCGGAGAGAGTAGCACAATCTCCCTTTAATCCAAAGACAGTCCATAGGGAAAAAATCCTGGGGACTGTAATTCTACCAAAATCCTATAATATTTAGAATCCAAGGGGCCTCTAGCGCAAATGAGTCACATGGCAAACATCTTATGGATTTCAATCGTACGTACAAATCAAGCAACCCACATATAGGGAAAAAATTCCTAAAAGTTAGAATAATCCTGCAAAATTTCCTTTAGAAAAATTCAATCAAATGGATCCTTAACTTGTCTTGGGAAAAATCATGTGTTCATGCTAGCATCCCTAGTTGCCTATGAGGCTCTGATATTCAAGAAAATCGGCAGTTGCCAAGAATACATCATTTACATAGTTACGAGTCCAGCAGGACGGGTAAAAAAGAAGGCAAAACAACTGAAGTAACTTCAACTTGTGTTCAGAAAATTCATGTGATACGGCTGCATGTGCCACTGCACCTAGCAACTTGAGGAGGACAAAAAGCGTTTCCTTTGTTCTTCGTCGCAGGTGCAGGTGCAAATGCAGCCATATCACGCCATTCTTCTTCACCTATTATCGATCCAAGCTGAAGCTGGACGAGCTACTTGCATAAAGACACCTTGAGCTTCTGATGTAGCCAAAAGCAAGAAGATGGGGAGAATGTGTGACGAGTGATGTGTACCTAGGATGCCTGTGATAGAGTTGCATATGCCACTGCACCTACAGGAAGAGCGAGAGGGTCAAGGAGAACGTTGCATGCATCGCAATCGCATGCATGGCCAAGTTCCAAGCCCTCGACCTTTCTTCCTCTCTAGGTGCAGGTGCAAATGCAGCTCTATCCCATAACCCTTTGCTGTGCACTTTGCTGGCTCTCTAGCTTCCCTTGCCTGACATGCAAACCAAGTATGCTCTCACCACGTCTTTTATAGCTGCGCCTGTCCGAGTGTCCAGGTCCAGAGATAAACCAAAGTGTAGTCAATAATGGAGGGAGCTTAGGAGTGCTCGTTGTTTGACAAGTTAGTGGCGCGCCTTTCGCACGTGGCCCCGTCGCCTGGCTTCACATGCGGCTTGCACGGACGGGCAATGGCGCGGCGACACGTGCCGGCTCACACGTGGCAAGCACGTGCGGCGCACGAGGGCCCTCAACAGTGGGGCGACAACGCCATGCATAGAAGACGAGCATATTTGGTGCCTGGATTTTGTCCTCCCGGCCTGCCTCCCGATCCTTATCGAAAGAATCCTCCAAAGATATGTGCTTTCATGTTTTGTACTATTTCCTACTATAAGAAAAAAAAACATAAAAGGCATGTGCGTACAGTAACGATAGCAATTGCGTTTTGTGCAATGCACATTCTACACATCTCGTGTTGGTTGCTCCCTACAAAATACTCCGCCGTTTTTATTTACTTCACATATTAGCTTTGTTCAAGTTAAAATTTGTAAATTTTGTCTGAATTTATATATATATAAAATATTAACATTCTATAATACCAAATCAATATTATTGGAATAATCATTGAGTATATTTCCACACCATCTATACAGTTGTTATTGTACATGTCTGTATTGTTTTCTATAACCAGGTCAAACTTTATAAGGTTTCACTTAGGACAAAGCTAATCTGCATATTAGATTTTTCAAGATTAACTAGATACCCCTTTTTCTTTGAAAGAACCTTCCCGTCTATTCATAATTAGTAATAGGCGTACAAATAACACCAAAGATAATAAAAATTACAAGCATGTCCATGGGTCACCTAGCGACGACTAAAAGCATTGGAGCGAGCCGAAGATACGCCATCGTCATCGCCCTTCCTAACCGAAGCCAGACAAACCTTGTTGCAATAGATAGTCGAGAAGTCGTCGTGGTAAAGCCCCAGAGAACCATCACATCAGAGCAGCAAACATCGCTCGTGAAGAGAGTCATACATATCGATACCATATATTAGCAAATTTCCATGAGAACACATGCTAACATTTGTTATGCAAAATAAAAAAGGAAAGATAAATGAGAGCCCAAATAGCAACTTATTTTGGAGAGTGACTATCTAGCTCCCTGGCTCATTTGCTCCCGTCATGAACAGTAAAAAAAGATACTAGAAAAATTCAAAAGAATACATTTTTTGCATGGAAGATGCTTCAGTGCGTGAGGTCCGTGCCAAATTTCAGCTCGTTTGAATATCTGAGTAACTCTCAGAAAAAAAGACAAACTTGAGATATGTG